TTTTTTTTTTTTAACAATCACACCTTAAAGCCTTACATAAACTTGGGTAGCAATATTAGTATCATGGGTCATTCTACCTTCAGATACGTTTCGTACTTGTCTCACATAAAATGAATTTTTATTAATGTCAATTTAAAACTGAGCTGAGATTGGATTTTTCCTTTTTTGTTGATATTTTTTTTCTTTTTTAAAAAAAAAAGCAATCATACCTTAAAGCCTTACATAAACTTGGGTAGCAATATTAGTATAGAGAAATGCTACGGTCCAGTTAACCATTCCGTCAAGTTTGTAACCAGTCAGAAATCCCGTGTCCATTCTATCTTCTTTCCTTTTTTTCTTATGAACAGGCCGGAATAGGAGCGGGCAGCATATATAGAGTGTGAAGAGAGAAGAAAAATGAGTAGGAATATTGAGAAAATGGCATCAATTGATGCGCAGTTGAGGCTGTTGGCTCCTGGAAAGGTCTCTGAGGATGATAAACTGGTCGAGTATGACGCCCTCCTTTTGGATCGTTTTCTTGATATTCGAAATCAGAGAAACGGTAAAATCTATCTCCTTTTTTTTAATTAATAAATATTTCAGTTTCTGTTGATTTTGTTTTCTTATTCTGGGCTATTGGCATGTTTTTGGTTACTCTGTGGAGGCGACATTTTTTTGTGGGTTTGAAGTTTGAAGTTTGAAGTTTGTGGGTTTCATACAATTGTTGTTTTACTGCACATTTACTCAAAACTTATGTAGCTTGTGTACTGAAACATGGGTTAGGTTCAAGATTGTTACGAGATGTCTGCAGAGTATGAAGGGAAACGTGACCCGCATAAACTGGAAGAGGTCGGGAGAGTGCTCACTGGTTTAGACGCAGGCGATTCTATTGTGGTCGCAAAGGCTTTTACGAATATGCTTAACTTAGCCAACCTTGCCGAAGAAGTTCAGATTGCTTACAGGCGCAGGATCAAATTAAAGAAGAACGACTTTTCGGATGAGGCATCCGCAACTACTGAATCCGACATTGAGGAGACCTTGAAGAGGCTCGTGGGACAACTGAAAAAGTCCCCTCAAGAAGTGTTTGAGGCTCTCAAGAATCAAACGGTCGATTTGGTCCTAACGGCTCATCCCACTCAGTCTGTCCGTAGGTCTTTGCTTCAGAAACATGCCAGGTTTGTTGAACATTTTTGTGCATTCTTTGTAGTAAATGTTATTTCATGAAAAGATTTACTTAAGTAGTTGTTATCTCTTGCGTTTTTTTTTTTTTTTTGGTCTCTCAGAATCCGTAACTGTTTGACTCAGCTGAATGCAAAGGATATCACACCTGATGATAAGCAGGAGCTTGACGAGGCATTACAAAGGGAGGTATGGTACTAATGGTCTCAATACCTCCTTGTTTCTTTCTTCATGTACATTGTAATACAAGGATGGATTTGTTTTATTTGGCTATCATAACGAGCCTTGCTGTACTTGGAGGGACAGAAGACCTTGTGTAGTATGAATTTAGAACTACATTTTCCATCTGTGCCTGCTAAGATTCATTAGTTTCTGGTTCGTTTGTAATTAGAAGTTGGAAGTGAGTAGATGTTGAAAATTCATATGCTGTGGGTAAGAGGAACCCACATTTTGTACTATTCTCATGAATAATCCCCGACTTTACTTTAGTACTGTGTTATTCTGATTGTCTAAATAGCATCTGAACTTGCTTATGCAATTAAATTTTCTCCCTTTGGGGTAAGAGTAAAAAGGACACTCAGGAAAACATGTTGATGTGAACGAGTAAATGAGTTAAAAGTCTTGGTGATTGTCTGAAAGGTATTAGGTAAAAGTCTTTTTCCGTGTAATATGTATATTTATATACTGCACTTATTATTCTGTCAATGACTGAAACTACGTTGAATCATAACCCGAACCCATACTTATCTTTGGAAGTGAAAGATTTTTTGCTGACTTCAATATGTTATATATTCCTTATTGAAACATTTGAACTTGCTTCTTAATTTTAAACTTACATCATTTCTGCTTGTTAATGGTTATTTGACAACTATATCTCTGCCGTTTCAGATACAAGCTGCATTTCGCACGGATGAAATACGAAGAAATCCTCCGACTCCTCAAGATGAGATGAGAGCTGGAATGAGTTACTTTCATGAGACCATATGGAAAGGAGTCCCAAAGTTCTTAAGGCGCGTTGACACGGCTCTAAAAAACATCGGAATTAATGAACGCGTTCCTTACAATGCCCCACTAATTCAGTTCTCTTCCTGGATGGGAGGGGACAGAGATGGTAATTTTCTTCTGTACGACTATTTGTATGGATTTTCTGAACCTACCTTCATTTTTTCATAAAGGAATAAACGGAAGTGAAAAGCATTTCCGAAAATGATACTTATAGTCAAATTTGGTTGTTGCAGTTACTGCCTTCTATTGCAACCTTCTATGTGCATGATTCTAATAAGTTTCAATAAATTCTCACCAATTCAAGTGTTTTTGTTTCTCTCAGTTTTGGGTAGTGATGATACTTTCATTTTTCTCATCAACTGTATATATCTTCTGGCACTAGGCAATCCTAGAGTAACTCCTGAAGTTACAAGAGATGTGTGCTTACTTGCTAGGATGATGGCTGCAAATTTGTACTTCCCACGGATCGAGGATCTCATGTTTGAGGCAAGAAATTGAACCATTTCAAGTTCATCAGTTTTTTGTGCCTTTGCCTTTGAAACTTTTATGGATGGTTTTCTAGGTCCTTTAATTTTTTGTTTTATGATTTGTATATATTGTCTCTGGCCAGCTGTCAATGTGGCGGTGCAATAACGAACTTCGCGTGCGAGCAGATGAATTGCACCGGTTTTCTAAAAGAGATGTTAAACATTATATTGGTATGTTATTTTGAGCTGCTTGTGATTTTGGCACAGTATTGCTTGCTTATACACCTAAAAATTCTTTAGTTTAGGAAGTGCTCATACATCTATGATTTTAATTTTTGTTAACATTACTTGGAAGATGACTTGTGATGCGCCCCTTTCCCAAGTATATGACAGCCTGCTCGAAACTGAAGAAGTAAAAGTCCCATGTTATCATCAGTTAATTTCTTAATATTCCCTTAATTTATTGTCTTCAGAATTCTGGAAGCAAATCCCACCAAATGAACCTTATCGTGTTATTCTTGGAGGTGTGAGAGACAAGCTTTATTATACGCGTGAACGTGCTCGTCAGTTGCTAGCAAACGGGTTCTCTGATGTTCCTGTGGAGTCGACTTTCACCAATGTTGAAGAGGTCAGAACAAAGAACAAAGTTCGAATCACAAATTTTTATTTTTTCTTTTATTTTCTTTTCCAGCATACTTACTTGTTACCATTATTATTCTCTCAGTTTCTGGAGCCGCTCGAGCTGTGCTATCGATCCCTGTGCGCGTGTGGTGACCGACCCATAGCTGACGGCAGCCTCCTCGACTTCCTGAGACAAGTTTCGACATTCGGGCTGGCTCTCGTGAGGCTAGACATCCGGCAAGA